TTTAGTGTTTTTATCAATTCTTTCTTTGATTTATTCAGACTATAGATTTTTTTAAATTATTATTCTTGGTTTGTAGGGTAAATGAAGACGACAAAGACAGACAATGTATGAAGCCTATAATTTCTTCAAAGAAGTTAAGAGAATTGGGTTTTGAGTACAAATATGGTATTGAAGAAATTGTTGATCAGACAATTGATGCTTCTATCAAGTTTAAGTTCCCTACCATGAACCACAAACTAAAGCACTAAGATCAACAGCGATTATCTTCTTTGTTTTACTGGATTGGACTATTATGATTCTTAGAATCTATTTATAAAGTGTTTTCAATCCCATTTTTTTTTGTTTTTAATGGTCACTGTTCACTCTGTCATCTTAATATGTTTGAACATTTAAAATGATGGATCCTACTAGCTCAGAGTCGAAGTTCTAATTGTGTTCTAAGTACTTCTAGTTTTGTCGTCACTTTTGATGCAAGCTTTGTCTCAGTGCATTTGCAAATAGGTATGGACCATTTAGCTTTTCAAATAATATGCTAGCTACGATTTATGTTCTTTTTGTTCTCTTGTTCGCTCATCGTTTCAATAAGAAACAAAAGCACGACCATAGACATGTTTGATGTAAGCAGAATTTAATCTTTTCTTTTTATGATTCAAATTTGATTTTTTAGTTTAGCTCAAGCCGCTAATTAATTGTGGGAAACAAAAGTTCACCAATTCCATTTTCATTTACTAGAGTTCATTACCCTGCGCAAAGTTTCTTACACGATGAAGGCATAAAAAGGGCATTAAAAAATGATCAATTTATCTCTTCTTTGAGACTTACTATTTGTTTACCAGTTATTGTCTGGAATTTGGCATTTACCAATATTCTCCACCCGTGAAACAAAGCCTCTATCTGACGCTCTTCAACCTCCATTCCTTTATTTCGTGCAACAACCCCATTATTCCCTCTTCACATGAACCCATAACATCAATTATTACACCACGAACAAAAACATTTCGTCTTTTTTCAACTTAGAGGATCAGTCTCAACACAATATGAATAAAAGCCTTACTTTTTGAGCTTGAGGTTACAACTTACAAGTAAACAAATGTTTTGCTACAAATCTAAAGACTTTTCACATCACTTGGTTTCAAGAAGAAATGCACATGAATTTACCAAACCAAAAGTTAGTCAAATCTTTTATGTATGCAAATAGAAACTTGAACTCAAGTAACAAGAAAACCTGAAAATGATGCAAGCCAAAAATATACTAGCTTCTTTATTTAAAACGTTGTTCAAAAGAGTGTAAATGATACTAGCAAAAAGTTTTCAATCATTTTGTTAGAAGTTTTGCTTAAAAACATTTCTTTCTGAAAGCTACGATTACCAAAATACCAAATTTGCGTTTTCGAAACTCTCTAGTTAACACAACTTATCAACCAAAACTTGCCATTTCTTTCATCGAAAGTTTGGTTCAACGTTTGCAAATCAGCACAAAACAAGGAAGCAACGCTCGAGAATTGAGCAAATAAAGCTCCTCAACATTTGTGTACAACCCAACTTTACCGGCCAAAGAATCAAACCCATTCAATAACCCACCCATCTCCTCTAAATTCTCCACCGGCCGATGAACCCTCCCGGCAATCACCCGACACACTATCAACGCCTTCCGATCACTACCACCACCGTCGTCAATCACAATTGACTCAAACGCCCTCTCACTCGTCGACGCAGTAAAAACCCCAATTCCGTTATTCATCTCCCGTTTCGCCGAGAACCCATTTCGTATAATCCGACAAACGCAGCATTTTTCCGACGAACACAAACTCGTCGACCCGTTTATCCCTAAAGCGCAAGCGACGGTGGTGCCGTGAAACCTGAGAAGCTCGTTTCCGTCGGCGATACATCTCGGGTGCTTCTTTTGTAGCTTGCTTGCTCTGATCTTCACCGTATCTCTGTATTCCTCGAATCTTGCTAAGGTTTTTTGCATGTTGTGCACTTTCAAGATCCGGTCGATTCTCCCGCCTTGATTCTCTGTCTTTAACCAGCTTGTTCTGCAGATTATCTCCACAATTTTCCTCGATGAGTCTCCTTCCATGAGCTCAGTCACTGAATAAATTTGGGTTAAAATGAATCTCTGTAACCTAATTGTGAAATTCGAAGATGAAATTTACGAACTTTGGGAACACCTTTGCTATAAAAGTATGAAATTCGAAGATGAAGTTTGGGGAAATTTTTGCAATGAGATTGATTATTTACCGGCGTGTTTGGTGAGATGATGAGCTTCTGCAGCTTCGAGTTTGCTAAATTTCTCGCCGCATTTATGGCAAGAAACAGAGGAATTGTCTCCATTAATGGCGGAATCTCTATCTCTCTCTCTTCTGCTTTGGTGAAACCCTAATCCTTCTTTGTCTAAAGAAGAAGCCTTTCTCGACGCTTGGCTCCGGCGTGAAGAAGAGTAATTCACTGGCGTCCCTGGCGTCAGTGTCCCCACGAATTCAGTTGCTCCGGCGGCGGTGATCTTGAGCTCGCAGGTGGAGTTGCTAAAGATTACATCGTGAGTAATGGGATTGAGAAACTCGCTGCTTCCAATAGAACGAGGGCTAGAGCAAAGCGGCTTCTCCAAATGCCGTTGGTTTCCATGGATTACGTCTTTGAGATTGGCTATGGATCTGGAACAACCGGACCGGCCACCGACTCCTCCTCCGGAGGTGGTTGTTGTTCTCTTAGTGGATATGGGAGTGAGCTCTTTTCTGGATCTCGGAATGTGGACATCGGAGACATCAGATTTGCAGGGGAGAGATTTCTTCAATGAAAACCAAACACTGGGTAGCTTTTTGATCTTCTGAATATCGGTATTTTCTCTCTGAATCGTCTTCTTCTTTTTCTTCTCGCTTCTTGTGCTTGAAGCTTCCATTTTTTCTCTTCTGTTTTGTCTTCTAAAGACAATGGAGAACGAAAGAAGCAAAAAAAAAGTGACCTAAGAAGCAAAAATTGAAATGAATGGTAGAGAGTTTCTATTTTTTGAATTGGAGAAGCTTCTTCTTCTGGCAATTTTCTAGGGAGAGATAGTAAAGGAAGGAAAATAAATTATTATTAGAGTTTTTGTCGTCAGAACTCTGAAGCTAAGACGATACATAAAATTTTGTCCCAAAAAAAAAAAAAATACATAAAATTTAAAATTAGGGATTATGACAGGAAAATACTCCCAAAAATGTATTTTAGACTCCCAATAATGTTTGTTTTTTCATCATTGTTGAATTCATATGTATTTGGAGACATGCGTTGAATGCTTCAAGATTGTGTGGTAAAAACGTTTAACCATTCTAATATATAATTCCTAGACGTAAAAAAAAAAAAAAAAAAAAAGACATGGGTTGATGGTAATATTAAAAGTCTTGAATATGGACAGCACAACGCAAAGTACAAACCAAGCGGAATAAATGTGGTTTAACGTAAAATGGATGGAACAAATAGTGTGAAACCGATATAAAGAAATTTGAATGGAGTTCGTATTTACTTCTAATAAATTTTCTTTTATGTTGTTTGATACGTCAAGACTCAAGACAACAGTTATCGTACTTAGGTAACTTAGATATCTATGGTACTATTTGACTCACGAGGCCACAGTAGATTTGGTTGTCTTCAGACTAAAAATACAAGTATGTACAATCTCACATTTCCCAAATCTAATGCTTCCAATATGTTTGCATAGTTTTGCTGTTTGAATTGTATTTAAACTTGTTTGTATTTAAATAGTTTAAATACAAAAAAGTATTTAAACTATTTAAATTTTCATATACTGTTGGACAACGATACTTCCACAATATGTGTTTGTCCTTCGAACAACCATTCGAGTCAAGAAACAAAAAAAAGATTGGAAGTATTGATTTGTCAAGACCAACGAATACAAAAATGAAATTTAACTTTTGGAGTTGCAGAACGTATTATTGTCATTTTTTTCAGAAGATCTCATTTCCACAATAATCTAAAAAGCTGTATGTTTTCATAAATTTCCAATTACTTTTTCATTTTCTTTCGTAACACGAATAATGACTATGTTGAAGCATTAAAGACATTTCGACATCCTACACTAAAGAACAATTCAAGTGTTGTGATCCACCGATCTTTTGTATGAAAGGTTGGTAACATCATAACCATCCCACCATGTCCATGACACGCACTTTTCAAATGTCTCTAGTGGGTTTACTTTCTTTGTTATCCATCTTCGGAAAAATTAGCTTGATTTTGAAACTTTATTGACAATTGTAGTTCTTTTGTCGTATACTCGTTGTATAAATTATTCACAACTCTTTTTTCTCCCAAAGCTTGATTTCTTACTAAATGAAAAGATCTGTGGGATTTTCAGCCACCACAACATGTCATACAACTTTCAACTGTTACTATCCAAATTTAATAGACTTGAGCAAATTAACCAAACCGAATGTACATAATCAAAATCGAAAAAAAAAACCAAACCGAATCGAACCGAAAATTTGAAAACACTGAATGGATCCTAAATTTTAGAACCGGAACCGAACCGATGAAATATTTCGAATATTCGAAAATACCTGAAATATAATTATATATCCAAAATATTAGTTATTTATAAACCGAACCGGAATCGGACACCCGAACGCCTAGGACTAAAATTTAAACCCACATAGTAGGATTAGGACGTTCTAAACAAGCTACTGTACAACACACTATAACTTCTTTGGGTTTTTGATAAATAAGAAAAATATAAACAAGAAAATTACATTTGGGCCGAATAATGTTCAAATAAAAAGGAGGGCTTATATAGTTATATATATAACAAGCCCAACTTGGGCCATATATCCATTTAAATTGCCGGAGAAAAAAAAAAATGACAAAGTGGTGGGAGCACGAGACTGAAATCATGTCCGTTAAAGATAAAACAATCTAACGGTGCAGATTATTGATCCATGCAGTGTCATATCATTGGTGAGAAATACTTTCTTCCCCACTATATTAATCATCATGGCGGGTTTTGCTGAAATTCATTATTGCTTTTTTTTTTTTTTGTGACAGAAAATTCTCAGTTACGCTTCGTCCATACTTATTTTTCTTGGGTAGTAGAAATGGCGGGTCGGGGAAAACAACTTGGATCTGGTGCGGCGAAGAAGTCTACTTCTCGTAGTAGCAAGGCTGGGCTTCAATTCCCTGTGGGTCGTATCGCTCGATTTTTGAAAGCCGGTAAGTACGCCGAGCGTGTTGGTGCCGGAGCTCCGGTCTATCTCGCCGCCGTTCTTGAATACCTCGCCGCTGAGGTAATCATTCTCATATATAGATCGCCTGTTTAATTTTTGCCGAAAGGGATGGTTTTGGCTTGCATCTCTCGCATCTAGTGTTCTGGATTTTAGATTTTAATGACCCCTTTGGTTGATTTTGTGCGAAATTGGAAATATTTTAGAATGCATTGGTTTCTTTACTTTTTTTTTGAGGAAAATTGCCATTTTGTGTGTGGTTTGAGTCTCAAATTTTGCTTCTTGTGCTGATCGAAATTAGGGTTAGATTTTGTTCTTTACCAATTTGAGTTACCATAATCAAGAGGTTTTGTTGTTCACTTAGTTTTTGCTTTGGATATGTAAACATGTGTTCATGGGAACTGAATTTCTATAGGTTCTTGAGCTCGCTGGGAACGCAGCAAGAGATAACAAGAAGACCCGTATTGTTCCTCGACACATTCAACTTGCTGTGAGGAACGATGAGGAACTAAGCAAGCTACTTGGAGATGTGACTATTGCTAATGGAGGAGTGATGCCTAACATCCATAATCTCCTTCTCCCCAAGAAGTCTGGTCCCTCTAAGCCTACTGAGGAAGATTAGGGAAAGCTGGAAAATGGTTGATATCAGATAATGCTTAGGACTGTTTTTGTTTTTTTTTTTTTTATTTGCTTTTCCTCTGCAGTAATGGCAGCTGTGTGGTTGTACTAGTTGTTAAGGATAACTTTGTTTCACTTTGTGTGAATAGATGAAGAATATTGTTCTCTATTTGCTTAACTGTTCCATGGAATAGAATGGCCAATTCATGACAGAAATCAAGTTTTACCGTAATGTTTTATGTTGACGAGCTCTTCTTTCCTAGAGCCAATGAGCAAATCTTTTAAATTTACTTGATAAAAGGAAATAACAAGTGCAATAAAAATGACACTCACGTTTTCTAAGTATCAGTGGCTAAGAGGAATCACACAGCTCAAACTTTTTTACAATTTGAATTCTCTGCAGGTTCATGATTTACATTGTCCCTCCAGAAGGTCCTCAGCCATGGGATCTTCTATTTGAATTGAAACTGCAGAAGCCTCTGCTCTCTCTATTGGATTTAAGCTGCAGCTCCATTGACAGGAGATTGCAAGTGAGGCAACTATTATGCATCTGTAAGTCCATGATTACATTGTAGCTAGAAAAGCTCCTCAGCAATGTGATTATGATCTATTAGAAACTGGAGAAGCTTCTAATCTCTCTTAATATTTGTGGGAGATCTGCTCACAATAGACTCAAAGAGAGCCAGTTAGTATATTTCCATCAGCTGGTACAAAACGAGGTTGAAGGGTTTCTCTTGTAGTGTTATCATCCCAAGATAAATTGTTCCACCAGTGTCTTTCTCCTCTTACTTCTTTGACTTTATGAGCTTTACTTGAGCTAATGGGTAGATTCTTGAGAAGATTGCATCTTATCACTTCCACATGTTCTAAAGATCCCCAGGACCCTTTTTGGCTACATAATCTGTTTAACCGCGGGAGATTCGTCAGCTTTATGATACGCAGAGCAGGCACCAAGGGTTCAGTGGAGGCTGAAAATTCTCCTGGAGAATAGTCGAACAGCTCCTGAAGCTTTTCACAAAAGCTAACGTGTATCTCTTGTAGGTTCGGCAGGAAACAGATTAAGTTCCCTAACGAGAGAAGGCATTTAAGCCGGCTACATCTGCTGACTTCTAGATGTTTCAGTGTCTGAAATCTCAACCCCAGATGACCCACGAGCTCACTAATGGTTTCCAGATTTACACGACGCAGATGAAGTTCTTCGAGGTTAGGTAGAAGATCCAGCTGCGCGACACATCCACCAGCGGGCCTTATACTTCCACCAAAACTATCTACCGTTAGAGACCTCAAAACGTTGAAGCTACTTGTGCTATCAATTACCAAGTTTTCCAGCATCTCGTTGAGACCCCAGCAATGGTTCATTACTAGGGAAGTTGTGTTCACTAGCAACCACCCAATGAATGCCTCTGAAACATTGAGACTACTTATTGTCACTCTCCTCTTGTCATGTCTACTAGGTAAGGAGTTTGCAGTTGGGCCAATAAACAACTGGAATTTCTTTAACTTTTCTATCCAAGAATTGTATTCAGGGGAAAGAGGTGGAACACATACAACCCTGATGGAGAGAACCAATAAACAATGGAGACACGCAATGTCTTCAAGTGTTGCTTGCCCTTCTTGAGTTTGTCCTTGGACGCCCCAGTGGAAATGACTAAGCGTCATGTCTAGAACCTCTAAACTCGATAAATGTTGGATGATTCCAGCTGGAATGCTTTCGAGGTGATGTGTTCGGGAGAGGTCAAGTAGTCTCAAGCTGTTCAAAGTTTCCAACCCTGTTGGCAATTCCTTTATACGAGTGGCACAGAGATCCAGAACTTGAATTTTTGTAAGCTTTTCGAGGGAAGGAACTTCTTCGAGGTAGTAGCAGTCTCTCAAGATGAGAGATCGAAGCTCATGAAGCTCGCTGAGGGATAGAGGCAATGAACTTATGCGTGTCCCACTTAAATTCAGAATCCGAAGTGCTGGAAAAGATAGCAAGAACCCCACAGGTAATGCCTCAAGGTGAAAATTTCCTTGTAGCAGTAAAGCCGAGAGTTCAACACACTCTACCACCTGATCGGGGAGCTTTTTAAGCTTATTGTTCATCAAAGAAACTCTTCGGATAGAAGGAAAATACTTCTCCAATGGAAACTCGCGCAAGCCTATGCCAGACATGACAAGAGAGTGACTATCATCTTGCGAGGAAGACATGACCCATATGGCAAATCTCTATAATTAAATGAATGATCAAAAATATCCTCCAGACATGACAAGAGAGTGACTATCATCTTGCGAGGAAGACATGACCCATATGGCAAATCTCTATAATTAAATGAATGATCAAAAATATCCTCCAGACATGACAAGAGAGTGACTATCATCTTGCGAGGAAGACATGACCCATATGGCAAATCTCTATAATGGTCTCTATAATTAAATAACAAGACATTGATGTTGATAGCTTGAGATTCGTTCGGGCAATGATGAGTTGGCTTTTGAAGTTTCTTTGAAACTTGCCTTGAAGACTCTTTCTCCATTTTCAGCTACTAGTAAGTCTTCTGGTATATTCGTTGAAACTTTCTACTTTAAATATTTCAGAACTCTGTTAGGGTCGACTAATGGTTCCGGTTAGGACATATTTCAATTGTCTTCCTTCAAATGCTATTTTTGTGAGGAATCCCATGTAACATAAAAATTAGACTGATATATAGCAAATTTGATGGAGTAAGAAAAACAAAGAACTAAGTACTTACACGTGAGCATGGAGGCACTTCATGATAGGTAGCAATGACGATTTGCAGCCTATTTCTACATTTCCCGCATCATTGCTCAACTAGAAAACTTTCTGAAGTCTGTTGTGGCCTCAGAAATTTCCACGGCCATGAAATCCTTTGTTTGGCATTAAAGAAGCATTAGATCTCCTTATTGCAAATGTCAATCAAACGAAATTTAGTACAGCTGAAATTTGGTTTTTAAGTAGATTCTTGATGAAAGTCATTGGCTATAGTAATTTAGGATATATGAAATAATTAATCTGGCACACAAAGATTTTTTGAATCTCCTTTATGATTTCTACTAATTAACTTAGCGGCGCTAGTTAACATACATCTTAGTATCATCTATAGAGTCTCCATAAGTGCTGGCCATGTATAGTTTGTGATGCTAGCCATAGATTCTTTTTGCCATGGCGAAGCAGAAATTTTTCTTCTTCATTTTCGGAACAGAGACAACCAGCAAAATTTCAGAAGGTACATCGTAGAGAAGAGAATGGCACCGTTGTGCGGGGGAAAACATGGCAAAATCTCGGAAAACAGTTCATACATGCCATTAGAGTAGCCTAGGAGTGCGACAGGGTTGCAGAACATGTCTATTGTGGCCGATGTATCTTTTGGAGTGAATAATCAACTAATTTGTTAGACAATTATATAGATAGTCAAGAACTTGTTTCCATGAGACATGAGTATGAGACACGGTGATTAACTTGGATATTTTCAACGTTCACCCTCGAGTAAAGAAAATTTCTTTATGTTGTCAGGGTAACCTTAAATTATTCAAATAACTCATTTTTCCCATGCAAGTGGGAAACGTTTAATATGATCAATATGTTTGAAAGAGTTTGATAAAAAAGAAGACTTAACCATCCATAAATAAATAAAACTCCAGTGGCAACTTAAAATACCAATGCACAAAGTCCAACCATCAAAGTGGAGCCTTTCTTTGTTAGTTTCTTTACTAAATCAAACCTTCAAAAGTCGTGGTTGCATGATGTATGACAATGGAGTCCTTTATATTAGTGATCCTTTCACATTCTATTTCCGCTAGCAAAAGTGGAGTTGGAGTTCAATGGATATTCTCCTCACGCCCTCCGGATCGCTCATGGAATTTTAATGGTAAGTTCAATACTATTCTGATTACATTTTTTTAAAGTTTAATTTTGGAGATAAAATATTAGTTTCTTAAAAATTTCTGCATATGATTTAAATTTGAATTATTTTTTCAGTGAAATAAGAAAAACAAAAGCTTTAAACATATGTTGCAGACATCACGGACGTTATCATTGTGTCACTTTATAAAAAATTAAAAACAGAATTTTGTGTATTATTAAAAATACTCCAAAGTTTTTTCCATCCAAAAAAAGAAAAAAAAAATACCCCAAAGTGATTTACTATGATATAACGCACTAAATAATAATATTAAATTTTAAGAGAATCGATCACACACTTCTATGATGGAAATGTAAATCTCTTGCTATTTCCTTTAGTCTTATTAACACGATCTTCCGAGCTCGATTCATATGGATTAGGATTTTCATACTTTTTTTGTAGTTTATCTCTTTGAACATTCTAAATAGATCGGATTGTAGTAGGTGGAAAAAATGTAGGTTTAGTGCCAACTTACAACTAAACGTCATCCTTTATTGCAGATCTCAAAGTTCTTTTTGAAGTTGGTGTTGGCTCTGTGTTGCTGGTTCAACTAAAACTCCACCATGGAGTGTTTAGCCCCTGTCATTGGTGAGACTTTGCGTTTGATGTACGTCTCAACGTTCTCAAGAGTCGCTAATGCAATAAAGTTCAAATCAAACGTCAAAGCTCTTAATGATTCACTCGAGAGATTGACAAAGCTTAAGGGTAACATGAGTGAAGATCATGAAACTTTGCTGACCAAAGATAAACCCTTGAGACTCAAGCTAATGCGTTGGCAAAGAGAAGCAGAAGAAGTTATCTCTAAAGCAAGGTTAAAACTTGAGGAACGGGTTTCATGTGGTATGTCATTGAGATCTAGGATGAGTAGGAAACTTGTCAAGATTCTCGATGAAGTGAAAATGCTTGAGAAGGATGGCAGAGAGTTTGTCGACATGCTTTCTGTGGAATCTACACCAGAAAGAGTTGAACATGTTCGAGGGGTCTCAGTTGTTCATCAAACAATGGCGTCAAATATGTTGGCCAAATTAGAGATGGTTTGATAAGCGATAAAACCCAAAAGATTGGTGTTTGGGGCATGGGAGGAGTAGGAAAAACGACATTGGTCAGGACGTTGAACAACAAGCTTCGGGAAGAGGCTGCTACTCAACCATTTGGCTTGGTGATCTTTGTAATAGTTTCGAAAGAGTTTGATCCAAAAGGAGTCCAAAAGCAGATTGCGGAGAGACTGGATATCGACACCCAAATGGAAGAAAGTGAAGAGAAGTTGGCAAGAAGGATTTATGTTGGACTGATGAAAGAGAGAAACTTTCTTCTCATTCTTGATGACGTTTGGAAACCCATTGATTTGGATCTTTTGGGCATTCCACGAAGGGAAGAGAATAAAGGTTCAAAAGTCATTCTGACTTCCAGGTTTTTAGAGGTTTGTCGCAGCATGAGAACAGATCTTGATGTTAGAGTGGACTGCTTACTTGAAGAAGACGCTTGGGAATTGTTTTGCAGAAATGCAGGGGATGTTGTGAAGTCAGACCATGTTAGGTCAATTGCAAAAGCCGTTTCACTTGAGTGTGGTGGATTGCCTCTGGCTATCATCACAGTCGGAACAGCTATGCGGGGAAGTAAAAATGTCAAGCTGTGGAATCATGTCTTGAGTAAGCTAAGTAAATCAGTACCTTGGATCAAAAGCATTGAAGAGAAGATCTTCCAGCCATTGAAATTGAGCTACGATTTTTTGGAAGGCAAGGCAAAGTTTTGTTTTCTCCTTTGTGCTTTGTTTCCTGAAGACTACTCTATTGAAGTTTCAGAGCTTGTAAGATATTGGATGGCTGAAGGATTCATGGAGGAACAAGGTTCCCAAGAGGAATCCATGAACGAGGGAATCGCAATTGTGGAGAGTTTAAAGGATTATTGTTTGTTAGAAGATGGTGCTCGTAGAGACACGGTTAAGATGCACGATGTTGTCCGTGATTTTGCCATATGGATCATGTCTTCCTCACAAGATGATTGCCATTCCCTTGTCATGTCTGGTACAGGTTTGCAAGATATTAGACAAGATAAGTTTGTTTCTTCTCTTGGAAGGGTTTCTTTGATGAACAATAAACTAGAAAGCCTTCCTGATCTCGCAGAAGAGTCATGCGTCAAAACCTCAACCTTACTGCTACAAGGAAACTCTCTTCTAAAGGAAGTACCCATTGGATTCTTGCAAGCATTTCCAGCTCTTCGAATCTTGAATCTAAGTGGGACTCGCATTAAGTCATTTCCAAGTTGCTCTCTTTTGCGTCTTTCCAGTCTTCATTCTCTCTTCTTAAGAGAATGTTTTAACCTTGTAGAACTACCTTCACTAAAAACCTTTGCCAAACTTGAGCTACTTGATCTCTGTGGCACACATATCCACGAATTTCCAAGAGGGTTGGAAGAATTAAAGAGCTTCAGACACCTTGACCTTTCACGAACACTTCACCTTGAAAGCATTCCAGCGAGAGTTGTTTCGCGGTTATCAAGCTTGGAGACACTCGACATGACATCAAGTCATTACCGCTGGAGCGTGCAGGAAGAAACACAAAAGGGGCAAGCAACAGTTGAAGAGATAGGATGCCTCCAGCGTTTACAGGTTCTTTCTATTAGGCTCCATTCTTCTCCGTTTCTTTTAAATAAGAGAAACACTTGGATCAAAAGATTGAAGAAATTTCAACTTGTCGTTGGCTCTCCTTACATTTCGCGTACAAGACACGACAAGAGGAGGCTAACAATAAGTCACCTCAACGTATCACAAGTATCCATCGGGTGGCTGTTGGCTTATACAACCTCTTTAGCACTAAACCATTGTAAGGGGATCGAAGCAATGATGAAGAAATTGGTGATTGACAACAGGAGTTTCAAGAATTTGAAATCTCTGACGATTGAGAACGCTTTCATCAATACAAATTCTTGGGTTGAGATGGTAAACACTAAAACTTCAAAACAATCCTCTGACAGGCTAGACCTTCTTCCAAATTTGGAGGAACTTCATCTGCGTCGTGTTGACTTGGAAACCTTCTCAGAACTACAAACACATCTCGGGTTGAGGCTGCAAACACTGAAGATAATCGAGATCACCATGTGTCGCAAGCTTCGAACACTACTCGGCAAAAGAAACTTCTTGACTATCCCAAAACTGGAGGAGATAGAGATTAGCTACTGCGACTCATTGCAGAATCTACACAAGGCTTTGATATACCATGAACCTTTCCTACCAAATTTACGTGTCTTGAAACTGAGAAATCTTCCAAATCTTGTGAGTATATGCAACTGGGGAGAGGCTTGGGAATGCCTGGAACAAGTGGAAGTGATTCACTGTAATCAGCTGAATTGTTTACCCATAAGCTCTACATGTGGAAGAATCAAGAAAATAAAAGGAGAATCGAGTTGGTGGGAGCGTTTGGAATGGGACGATCCCTCTACTTTAGCCACTGTTCGACCTTTTTTCAATCCAGTGGACGAATTTCCTCTGCTTATATTATCATAACGGATGCAGCAACTCAAATGCTATAAGAGTCGATATTCTAGACTCACCCTAAGAGTGTTTACCTTCTCTGTTTCTCTATTTTGTTCTTTTCGTTAATTTTGTTTGAATTTGT